CTCCCTGGAGGCAAGAATTTTGAAGCTATCTCACATGATGCCAAGAGGAGTTGTTGAAGAAGATCACCATGCTTGGAAGAAGCACAGCACAGAAGATGAAGATCCTGGATGAGATGGAATGACAGTGACTGTGGCAATGGGGTCAGGTGTGGCAGAGATTATGGGTTTGGTACAGGATGGGGCAAGAGTCAAAGCCATTGTTCATATGGTTGCTATGGGTTGTAGTTGACTCAATGGCATAGAACGACAACATAGAGTTTTCAAGGCTATAAATTTTCAAGGAAGCAGATAGCTTCATCTTTCTCCTGTGGAGTGATTCAGAAAATAAAACTTCTGACCTTTTGATAATTATTGTTATTGTTGTTAGATACCATTAATTTGACTTCACTCTATCCTGTGCCAACTTTATGGTCTTTTCTATGCTCAAGCTCATTTTTACAGTCACTTTGTCAATCCATTTTCTTGACTATCTTCCTCTCTTTCTCTGATCATCTACTTTTAATAGCACGAAGACTTTTCCCAAGGACTTGTTAGAGCCACCTCTACCTGAGAACATACCCAAAGTAGGTGAGATAAAGTTTCACATTCTCGCCTATAAGGAGAATCCTTAGTTGTACTTCTTCCAACATAGACTTATCCTTTTGATTAACAATCGAAAACTTTAACCATTGCACTGCTAAGACAGGAGGTGGGTTTAGTGGATTTGGGGTATGCTATTTGAGCATTTTCTCCATTTTGGACGCCATTTCATTCACACACTCAGGAAAAACCACTAATACAGGGTGTGATTTTTCTCATTCAATCATTGACCATCAAAGATTGAATTATCTGCAGAAGAAATAAACAATTAGTAAAGCTGAATAGATTTACACCTAGAATTTATTTTAAATGTCAGCCACACCTTTCTATAGGAAGTAACATTTTAAGATATGATTAGTATTCTGAGTGAAGGTTGATGGTAAACATTGTGTTTTTTCATTATCATGAGGTGACAAAATTATCCACGTTCAAAGGTACAACAACTGCAGAGTGGCTAAAACCCTACTTTTCTTTGCCTATTTTAATTGGCTGTTATCTATAATTTATTTCTTCTTAATCACCTATAGAAGATATTTATATGCAAACCTGCTAAAGCTTTAACATTTGTTATGAAAGAATGGTATCACTGAGTCTTAAAAAATGAAACATTTCATGTGAGGACTTTGAGGCTGCTCACAGTTCTCATTTATTGCGGTGCACTATCAAGTTGAAAGTGACTAATAGCTGACCTTTTGGCAGGTTTTCTGTTCTTTTTCTTTTTTAAATGTCAGAACATTTTTAAAGCCAGTAAATTACACAGGAGGAGATTGCCCATATTTCTTCATTGGAGAAGCTGGTGGATTAGAAGCACATGCCTTGGCGAGCTCTGGTGGCCGAGTGGCAAGGAGATACACTGCAATCCCAGAGGTGCACGGTTCAAATCCACCAGATGCTCTGCTGGAGAAGGGGGAACAATCTCCTCCTGTACCAGTCAGATCTGATTTGACAGTTGTTGTTGTTATGTGCCGTCGAGTCGTTTGTGACTCATAGTGACCCTATGTACAACAGCCCTTAAACCGTGCTCTATCCTGTCTTTGACAGTACACACACAAATATAATAATAAAAAAGAAAAAAAGAAGCACATGCCTTTAAGGTTGAAGCACAGATTCTTACCACTAAGCTACCAGGGCTCCCTGGTAGCCTGTATAGGTGGTGGGACAGGATGTCAAAGGAGAGGAATACCGTCAATTAGGTGGACTGACACAGTCACTGCAGCAATGGGCTCAAGCATGAGCCCATTATGAGGATAGCACAAGATAAGACAGGGTTCAGATCTTTGTTTATAGGGTCTCTATGAGTCATACTCCACTCAACACATCTAACAAATTCTTGTCTTGTTGAGACAGGAATTCCTAATGTCTCCTCAATCAGACTTAAATAATTAAAACTAATAAATAAATTGGTATAGAATAATGACAAGGGAAAGAACAAATCAGAAATTCTGCCCCTTTACAGTGCTATAATTTTGGAGATATATATATATATATTAAATGATCCCTTTGGATGAATGTGCTTCTAGCACTTAAATTTTGAAGTAAGACAATCTAAAATTAGATCCATGAGAGCTTTATACCAAAGAGTTAATCTTTTGGAACTATTCTCATTTCTGTAATAAAGATAATAATTCTTATTTCACAGCGATGGGAAAGTCTGCTGTTAGGGAAGACTAAGGTGCGTCTGATACAGGCCATGGTCTTTGCACTCACTTGTTATGCATCAGAGAGTTGGACAATGACTAGGGAGGACAGAAGGAGAATTTATGCCTCTGAGCTGTGGTGCTTGAGAAGAGTATTGAACGTCCCATGGACTGCCAAGAAAATAGACAGATTCATCCTGGAGAGGGTTAAACCAGGCTACTCCTTGGAGGCAAGGATTCTGGGGCTTCATCTGACATACTTTGAACATGTTGCCAGGAGCGACAGGAGAGGGACATCATGCTTGGGAGGGTGGAGGGACGGGGCAGAGGGGAAGTCCCTCTATGAGGTGGATTGATTCAGTGACTGGGGTAATCGGGATGGGTGTGTCAGAGGAAAGTGCAATTGGCACAGGATAGAGCAGGGGATAGGGCTGTTTTACATAGGGTCGCTATGAGTCGCAAATGACTCGACGGCACACAACAACAACAATGACAACAACAGGGTTATAGAACTATCACATTTCTAAGATTATTATAAATTGACCAATGTTTACAGTGCTATTATTAATAATAAGCAGTATTAGGCAATTATTTCATACCAAGACTTGTGCTCTATGAATGGTATTTTCTAACTAAATTATTTAGGTGAAAATTAAATGAGATATATATTATCTCATTGAACCACTATATCTGATTTGGAAGTGATATGAGGCTTAAGAAAGTTAAAAGACAGTTAATCGTCAGGTGTGAAAAAAACAATGTACACAAACTTTGTATTTAAACCAGTATAAAATAAAAAGAAAATACAAAAAAAAAGAACCCTTTAAAAAAAAAACAAAACACCCAACCATGAAATTCATCATTACAAACCTGTCAAATGTAGGATATAATAATTGAAATTAAGTTTATTCTTTCATTTTTTTCCAAACAAGTATTTGCTAAGAAATAGATCCATTGAATAAAGCAAGCCCTGTAGGAACTTGTAAGGTATGTTTTATAAGCTATCAAACACGTTCACTATCCCAGTCACTGTCTGTAGAATTGATTCAAAAGTGACTAGGGACTCCCAGGAAAGTTGAGTAAGAGATTGTGGAGAGTCCAGTAGAGAGATGATGTTGGCTTCAACAAGGAGGGTATTAGTGGAGTTGAAAAAGCCTACATGAATCAAGAATATTCACTGCATGTAAAGATAGTGTGTGTGCTGCAATCCCAAAGACACACAGTTTGAGGCCACCATGAGAGGATGGGCAATCTCCTCTGGAAACCCACTGGAGGGTCAGCTATGAATTGGTTCTGAATCTACCATACCCAACAGCAACATATAATTTCTCGCTATATCCAGATATAAATAAATCTGATACATAATTGTTAAAAAAATTTCAAAACAAAAGATGTTCATAATATTTTACAACTTGTAGTGTTTTATATTTGACTATCTCTTGATGCATAATTGAATTTCTTTATTGTTTTATAAAATTGCTATATCAAATTGACTTTATATATATTTCTAGATTGTTAATTAAAAATTAATATATTTGCAAAAAGAAAATCTAAAACCACAAACCTGTCTTAAATATGTCTTATTATAGGATAATTAAAATTCTGCATAATTAAAAAAAAAGATAGTGTGTGTGGTGATTGAAGATAAGAGGCGAGCAAGAATGACCTCCCATCTTTTATTCTGAGCAGTAGAATGAACATCCAAAGTGAAGGAAAGAACTCTTTCTAGTCTCAAATCACAAACTGTAAACCATTTTAATGGCATTTTTGTTATCTTGAATAATATTAAAAATATATTTGAAGTTCATGGATGATCAGATATTTTTGTGAAAAAAGACAAGTTATTTCTTCCTTTGAGAAAATGATGAAACAAAATTTTTACATAAAATTTGTCATAAATTTATAATTTTCAAAGTTTATTCCTAGAGACAGGAATTGGCTAAAATTCTCTTGTAAATTTTTTTAAATAGGAATTTCAATACATACAATATTTTGGGGAGATTTGAGGGAGGATAAAACGGTAAAATAATTTACCAGAATATTAATATTGGATTATGGGGTTCTATGCACTTTTTATTTATTCCACAGTTTATATTTTCAGATTTTCTGTAATATTTAGGCAATATTTTTATAACTAGTAAGTGAAAGATTTGATTAAGAGGTATCTTTAAAGTTTAATTATTATGTCTATCTGTAGTGATAAAGAGTTGCACTACCAACTCAAAAATGTTTATAGTTCCAATCCACCAATAGGAGAAAGATGGGCTGTTTCTTCTCATGTGATTCACTCTGAGATCCCACTGAAATGCCAGCTATGTGTCAGTTATGACTTAAAGATACATAACAACAACAGCTCATTGTAGTAAATCCTGACAATCATTCTAATGGCAACTAATCAAAAACCCAATCAAGCCCAATAATGATATAATTGACACAGACCAGGATGATGGTTAATGTGGGACCACTAAAACTTTTGAAGTCTTGATGTCCATTATTTGAAGTACTTCTAAAGTTAAATACTTAAAGTTGTTATAGTCTTTAGCTTTCTACATAGTGTTAGGTGAAGTAAGTTATGTGATTCAAATCCACCAGCTGTTCCACAAAAGAAAGACGGGCAAGCAACTCCCAGACAATTTACTGCCTCTGAAAACCCACTGGAGGGTCAGCTATGTGTTACTTCAAACTTGAAGGCACATACCAACAACAACAAGGTGAAAGAACCATCATAGTTCTTTAGAAAGTCTTTTCGTCATTCATGACATTGCCTGTTTTCTTTCCTTCCAGGGTCAATGACTGTATCTTACGGGTGAATGAAGTTGATGTGTCCGAGGTTTCCCACAGTAAGGCAGTGGAAGCTCTGAAAGAAGCAGGCTCTATTGTTCGACTGTATGTACGTAGAAGACGACCCATCTTGGAGACTGTTGTGGAAATAAAACTGTTCAAAGGACCTAAAGGTAATATAAACATGAATGTCTCACACTGAGTTCTAACTGGGTTGAAATTTATGCCACACTCACCTGCAATGTACTTTCCTTTCCACCTTCCAATATTCATGGTTACCAGAGATTGGAATCCTGCAATAATGATTTTTTTACAAAGAATAAAAGGTGCTTATAATTTAAATATGAAGTTGGACTAGGAAAGGACTTATTTGTTTAGGAATGTCTTTAAACTGATAAATTTTAAATCTTACTAGATCATCATGTCTGATTGATTACATATTACTATCCCACTGCCATTGAATAGATATGGGCTCATAGTAACCCTCTGTCAGGTTTATAATTCTGTAAATCTTTACAGGAGGAGATTGTTTATTTTTCTCCCTCAGAGCAGCTGATGGGTTTGAACTGCCAGCATTTTGATTAGCAGCTCCACACGTTATACACTATTTTTCAGTTAGAGATTATAATCTTCCTTTAGCAAAATGGTAATGGAACTAAAACTAATTAAAACAATCTATCTTTGGATAATAATTTTTTTAATAACACTGTTGGGATTTTTGTTTTAATTTTATGATACCCTTGTGTGTTGTACCTAACAAGGACTACATAATGGTTTATACTTGAACTAGTGAATATAATGTAAAATTTATTATGTTTTTGAAATGTCTATTGAGCCCTTGAGGTACTTGTAGTTTCTCTAGGGAATTGCATAAACAATGAGATGAATCATTAAACTGAATTTTAAGAATAATCATTTCAACCCTGTACTACACAGAAAGATGTCATTTAATATTGGCTTAACACTCTTAAATATTTTAAGAAAATCTGATAATTAGTTTAATAGTCTTAAATATTTAGGAGAACATGGTTTTATAGTTGTTCTACTTTGAGTGAACCATTTATTCTTTCCCTTAAAATCTATTTAAATCGAATGCTATTGCACTTAAAAAATAATAAGAGCATGTCCTTCTCTGAGAGGTAGTAATGGGTAGTATTGAAGATCCCAAGGCAACTAGCCCAAGAATCTGACAGCAATGAAAAATCCGATTCATCCATTACATGTACTAGTGGAGTGAGCCAGCTTGGATGAGGGTCTCAGCTTGCGTAAAATTCAACTACATTGCTGTTCAACACAGATCTACCCCAAAGAGTTCAAACCAAAAAAGAAAATATTTCCCCCTAAATGGAATTTGACTCATTGTGACGCCATGTAAGTCAGAGTATAACTCTGCACCATAGGATTTTCAATGGCTCTTTTTTTGGAAGTAAAATTCCAGGCCTTTCCTCTGAGGTACTTTGGGGTGGACCAATCTTTCAGTAAGTACTTTCAGTAATTAAGTAGCTGGGCCTATTTATCTATTTATAGCAACCAAGGTATGTGATGATTAACGGATACAAAAAAATGTCCAAAGTTCTAAACTGATGGTTTGCACAAGATGAACAGCAGAGTTGAATGGTTAGCAATATAAACTCTGTAGTAAACATTCTCAGCTTGGAATGCTATTTTTGTCCATCATCAGCTGTTTGATCTTGGACAAATTTCTTAACCTCTCTTTGTCTTAGTTATGTTTTCTGCAAAATGCAGGTAATAACAATACTTGCTTTGGAGAGTGTTGTAAAAAACAGACAAATCAGTTCACGTAAAGTGTTTCAATTAGCACTGAGCACATTTTGACTAGCAAAGTAATATTAATTGTGGTGGTGGTGGTGGTGGTGGTGGTGGTGGTGGTGTTAAATTCTTCATGGTCTCTTATACCTGTTATTGATCTCCTGTGACAGAGTAAAATTTTCTTTGCTATTATTTTTATGGAACATATTACCAAGTCTTTCTCTTCTGGAGCCACGGAGTGGGTTTAAACTGACAATATCTTAACTATTATACCACCAAACAAAAAACCAAAATACTCACCCAACCCAATACTGCTAAGTCATTTTCAATTTGTGGTGACCTTAGGAGACAGAGTATTACTGCTTCATATAATGTCTACTCTTTGTACAGTAGTCCTGGTTGCATAGTGCATTGCACTGCTTAATGGAAGGTTGACAGTTCGAATCCATCAAATACCTCAATAGCAGTAGGTTTGAGTTTTGGTTTGAAATCTTTAGATATCAAACTGTCATATCTTTCTCCTACAAAATAACTAATGGATTTGAACCTCTTACCTTTCACAAAGCAATCAACTGCTTAACCATTGCATTACCAACCTCTTATATTTTAACTATGAACTGTATACTCCAAGTTATTTGTAACATCATTTTCTACACAAGTTCACTTTTTGTAATAATTATTTGGCTATGGATTTTTAAGATGCTTCTAGATTCCTCATGGACTGAATTCAGATGCATTAGATGATATAACTTAAATATGAAAGAAAAATATTAACCATATCACAGTAGTTAGGGGCATTAAAGAAAATATTTCCTGTAATACAGTTTTCTAGAATATAATATTAAGGTGCTTTAAACCCAAATAAAATGTAACCATTTCTACAATTCAATTAATAATGATTATTCAGCCCAGAGTAAAGGCAAATTATTAGCTTAACATGTATTAACAGACTTTCTGCAATCCATTCTCCCAGTGGTCTCCAGCTGTGTATCAGAATGCTAAAAAAACTTACTGAATTGGCTAAAAATGTTTTAGGTCTGCTTGTTTTATTTTGCTTTAGATATTTTTGTTTGGTTGGTGGGTTTTGATAACTAGGCTCCTCTCAGGCTAGTATACTTTAGGTGAAACTTTCTCCTATTTGGGGCTAGAATGGGCAAAGATTGTCCTGAGACATTGTGTAGGGGTTGTGGGGAGAGGTGAGTATTAAAATCTTTTCATGACAATGCACAGCTCATGGGAGTTGAGGTTACATGTAAGCAGGGACTGTTGAGAGAGAAGACTCAAGGAAACTATTAGAAGTGACTTTAAACTACTGAAACCAAGACCCTGCCAAATCCTGATAGACAGTTGTGGGCCAGGTTACGTTAATGGCCCTACTGAGAGTTTGCTGCGCCCATTTATTTTTTCATACTGTCATCATCCAGAGATGACTACTGTGGATTTGTTTAAATAAAGTTCATGGATTTGCGGGGAGAAAGAAGGGAATTCTTTTATTCATTATTTAAATTTCTTTTTAAAAAAATTATTATACTAGTTAATTTACAAAATTGTTTCTCACCACAGTTCCCTCCCATTTCCCTAACTCTGCCTATCAAATTGTGCAGTCACATAATTAATTCCTCTCCCTTCCACTCATCCTCATCCTCATCCCTCTACTTCTACCCTCCCCCATTGGATTCTCATGCTCATTCTACAATAATGATTTTATACAATATTTGTCCTTATGAGAGTGAGTTAGTTCCTTCAGGATAATGCACTCAAGTCCCTCCCAAGTTAGTTAATAATTCACAAAATGATTGCTCCTGCGTGCTGTGTAGTATTCCATTGTATGAATGAACTACAACTTCTCAATCCATTCAATTGTGGTTGAACAGCAAAATCAGAGTAGATAGGAAACTGGGATTGGATTTTAAATTAAATCTGATGGGGTGTTACAATCCAAACTTTGCCTGGCACCTTGTTATTCTTTGATAACGAATGATCATATATTAAAAATTATTTTCTACCAATGTTTAAATCCTGCCATAGAAATGCTTATGTCAGTGGAACATATTGGTGAATCAGATGTGCTCTCTGTCCTCAGGAAGTCCTACTGGGAGAGGGAGACATTATGTCTACTAGTTTTAATGCAGGGTAGAATGAAATCAGTTCTGTAACAGAGCTTCAGCTATCTATACTGTGGAGCAAGGAGGAAGATGTGATTTTTATTAACCAAGACAGCCAAAATGTTCCAAGGAGTTCCATTTTGTATTAAAAGATAATTTAATGTGTGCACAGAAAATTGTATCTGGGCTTCCTTGACTCGGTGGGTACTGTCTCTTGTGATTAGGGACTTTTGAATCAACTGTGACTCTCAGCGGTGCCACATGACAGAACAGAGCTGCCCTGTGTATTTTAGGCTGTAAATGTGTATGGGAACAGATTATTTTGTGTTTCTTCCACAGAACCAAAGGGTATATTTGAATTTCCAATCTTCAGGTTTATACTTCAGCACTTAACCAGTGTACCAGCAGGGGGATCTTATCAATAATGCTGCCAAATGAACCAACTAGTCTTGGGTATGAGTGCACAATCCGTTGCTGAATTAACGGGCTTCATTTAGTCATTTAGTCCTTTGGGCATCTAGTGGGCATTTGCTATAAGCTGGGCTCAGAGCCAGGCAGTGGAGTACACAGCGAAAGCGAAAGCAAATGAGAAAAAGAGGGACCTTGCTCTCAATGAATAAGGATGATAAAAAAAGAATTTGGGTGGAGGTGTTTGAGAAGAATACTGAATATCCCATAAACTGCCAAAAGAGCAAATAGATATCTCCTGCATATAGTTCAGCCAGAGTGCTCCTTGAAGGGAGAGATGACGAAGCTTCGTCTCACATACTTTGGGTATGTTTCTAGGAGAAGCAATTCCTTGGAGAGGGACATCATTCTTGGAAAGGTGAGGGTCGGCAAAAGAGAGGAAGAACCTCAGTGAGCTAGGTAGACACAGTAACTGCAGTAATAAACTCACATGTGTCAGAGGGTCACTATGAGTTGTACTTTACTCGACAGCACCTGACAACAACAACAAGAACTCTCAATGAAATTATAGTCTGATAGGGGGAAATTTTAAATCCGTGCCCACAAGAAAAAAAAAAATTAGGAGAAATTCTGTGAATGAACTAAATAGTCATAATGGTATTCCAATTACAGAAGGAGTTAAAGGGATTTCTCTGGTGAAAAACCACTTAACCTGAGCTTTCATATAAATGAAAGTTAGCCAGGCAAAGTGAGGAGGAGTATTCCTGATTGAAGAAAGTATGTATAAATTCCCTAAGGTAGGGAAGATCATAATACCAAAAAATTAAAAGAAGTTAAATATGGCTGGAGCTTAATAATGGAACAATGAATGTCAAGAAACTATATTGTCC